CAAAGTTAAGTAAAAGAGCTGCTGCAGACCAGGACTTCACAGTCCAACAACCCAAGCAGAGAGACTGGCTGTAGATACAATAACCTCTGAGGACGAGAACTTTCATAGCTGCTACATAAATGTGTTCCCTTTGTTTTTACCCAGTGGCTTTAACAAGTCACAATTATATCTGGTTTTATTTTCACTTTATTTTAAAAAGGGCATCTAAAGGGACCATCTGTTGTCTATGTCTACAACAAACCCTTTTTTCCACATTTCATCCAAGATGCTTTACTATGTGTTTAGGCTGTTAATAACATAGTAACATTTAAGGGAAACAGTGTCAGTGTTGCTGATGTCTGAGGGCAAAATAAACAAATAGCATGTATATGCACTGAATTCTAACATAGTTGGAAATGATATAAGCTCAGCCTTTTCTTTATTCCCTAAATGGAACTCCCAAGTGTTGAATAAAGTTATGTCTATCAATGCATTGCAATATAATTTAACCTGTCTTGAGCATGTATCCATTCAGGGATGCCTAAACACTGAAAAACAACGTGTGGATTCAGTTTTCACTCTTCACTCAAAGACAAATGGATAGTAGTTGCGACTAAACTAGTGTAGACTAACACTTGTTGACAAGTGGCCTCGATCTAAGGTCTATTTTAAACTCTTGACTTTTGGAAATAATGGGTAACAATCAAACCACAGAGATGGGGTCAGCCACGCATTTGTATGCCTCTACGAAAGAATAAAGCATCTATCCAACCATCAACCCATCTCCAAAGACCCTCACTCAGAAATGTGGTCAACTGTAATACAGAAAGTCCATGAAACTTTAGCTACGACTCTACACGTCAACACAAATCTCTACAAGACACTCCGCGTTACTGTTATTTCTTCCTAAAATCACAATCCCTTTACAATAGCAGGTTGGTTAAAAACCCAATTACGTGTTAAATATTTTTGATTTATTTATTTAAAGTAAGTTAGCGGGCTAACATTAGCAGAAGGCTTAGTTCGAGTGGCTGACGATTGCTGCGATGATACTGCTAGCTCAGCTCAGTTTCCACTGATAAATCAGAGTAACAGAAATTACTGAATGTGTTGAATATGAAAAAAGATGCGAAACTACCGTATATGTAGTGCGGGTTTGAAAGGTAACTTACCTATACACTGGCCCACAGGAGTGCTGTACGGATTGCCAAGTAAAAACTCCATCTTGACAACAAACAATCCGCTCAGGAGGAATGACAGGGAGACTCAGGCCCGGGGGCGGTCCTCGCACAACTCCGCCTGTAACCGAATTCTATTGGTTGAAAACACACCAATAGCGAAATACTAATGGCTACAAGTAATGTCAGTCACACTATCAACTGAAGCTGCGTTCACATAACTTTTTTACTTGTGGAATTAACAGCTTTCCGGGGTTTGTTTAAATCTGGTATTTATACGAGAGTTATTCAGAGAAAACTCTCTATTTTATAAGAATATAAACTAATGAAACCACAAGAGAAAGTATTATAAGTATGTTTTAATATATTATTTACAACGCTTTGGTCTTATATAGACAGAAAACAACATTACGATCAAAAGTAACTTGATTTGAAAGAAATGTATCTGTCTTATCCTGTTTTATTGTTATTATTAATTTGTCTCTTTGCAGCTGCTGTGTTTTTGTCCTTCATCTTCACTAAGTTGTTAAACATATTTATAATTATCGTGTTAAAATGATTTTAAAATAGTTAGATTGATGTTTAAAGGAAAGTAAGTTTCAACTTAAATAAAAATCAAATCATAAGTCTGTTAATTGCTGGCGAGTATTATATTTTACAATAATAGTATGTCTATTTGGATATTAGGAGTTTATTAGGGACAAAGTTACAAGGCAATCATTGAATCGGTTAAAACCAAGTGGTTGCCAGGCAACGTTGTGTCAACATCACCTTACTGCGTCGTGTCGCGTTGGGAAAACAGCAGCACATCTGCTTTACGGTCGTATTAATTGTATTATGTTTGGTTTTATATCCTATTGTCTTATCTTCGCTAACTTTGATATTTAATGAATTTGTCTTATCTTCGCTAACTTTGATATTTAATTAATTTGTATTTTACTCACGTCTCACTCTGTTGAATTTTTGCATTGAGCAGAGGATATAACCACACACCAGCATCATGAGTGGGCACTTTGAGGATTCTGAGCCTGTGCTGATGAATGATGAGATTTTGCGAAAAGCAATTGATGAGCAAACTTCTCAAGATCAGACAGAGAGAACTGCAAAAGCAGGGGGGTTACCATTTAATGAAGTCTACAAAATACGTCTGGAATACAAAAGTAAGAGGAGAAACTTTTGCCCCTGGTTTACACAACTCATTTGGCTTTTGAATTATCTTCTGGTATATAAGTGTAAAAATGCATCCGCCCGTAGACATTCTTATGATTAGCCACTTGAAGGATCTCACATCTTTGACGAGGCTAGATCTGAACAACAACATGATCGAGAGAATTGAAGGTGTGGACCATTTGCGGAATCTGACTTGGCTGAGTAAGATGAAGCGTTGTGTTTATATTTATTTATCATGGTTGAACTTTGATGACAGACTTATGATGATAATGCTTTTGCTGATTCTGTTCTAGATCTTTCCTTTAACAGGATAAAGAAAATTGAAGGTCTTGACTCTCTGACGAAGCTGGAACTGTTGAATTTGACTGACAACAAAATCTCTGCCATTGAAAACATGGACAGTCTGCAGAAACTTACTAATTTTGGCATTGCAAACAACCTCATCCCACAGTTAGAAAATGTACAAATAAATAAATACATCTGTAGTTTTTAAATTTTACAACCCTATACCATATACACTGATGTTGATTAAATTTCACAGGTTATCTATCTTAGGAAACTTAAGAATTTGCTGACCCTTAACCTTTATGGAAACCCCATCTCTGAGGAGAAAGACTACACATTGTTCATTGCTGCACACTTTCCACACTTGATGCACTTAGACTACAGACTACTGGACGACACAACAGTAAGTAAAGTGGATTTTACTTTGCCCTGTTTACAATGTTACAATTTTTCTATGTTTTGTTGTATAAAATATATCCCATGTGTTTATGTGCAGAAAAATGAAGCATCAATGAAATACCATTGTGTTATTGAGGAAATGAGGCTTGAAGAGCAGCAGAAACAACAGAAAGAGGATGCTGAGAAAAGCCTTGAAGCTGAACTCCAGTTACACAAAGTTATTCAAAAATCTGGTTTGATTATGCAGTTGTTGTTTATTTGCTTGTTTTGCATAAAACTTACACAGTTATTGTCTACCATTTTTGCAGGATGCATTTGTGGAGTTCCTCAATGGATCTCAACTTTTTCAAAGCATGATCAAAGAAGATCCTGAGGCTGACACTCTACAGTGTGTGACAGGAGTAGCTCATCTGCTTCACACATATCCCTTTACTTCTTCTTCTTATTGAGTGTGTTACTGACATATGATTTTGCAAAAATATCCCTTGACCTTACACTTACATTTGAGGAGCAAATGGTGGAACTCTGCATGCAGTTATTTCAAACAGGCCTGGCTGAGCATCAACAACGAGAGGCAGAGGTCAACTTATTCCTCAGTGCTCAGACGCAGGCTGTGACTGAGTACCAGCAGAAGGCGTCACAGACATTAATGGAATTTGAAAGTAAACACAAAAAGGTCAGCTTAGACAAGCACACTCTCTCAATACATTCAATTTGCTACAGCTGATTTAAAACTTTATTTCCTCACACTTTCTATAGAATATATCGAAGTTACAGCAAGTATCAGACCCTGACTCACTGCAGATCAAGATCAGCTGCCACAGTGATGAAATTAATCAGCTGTGTAACACCCTCATGTCAATGGAGTTTCAGCTGGTCAGTCAGCTGGAGGTATGTGTGTGTGTTTGGACCTGGGATTAAAGGTTAACATTGGATTCTTAAATAAGCTATGGTTTTTAACACTTAAAATGTGTTTATTTCACTACAGGAAACCATAAAAAAGTTGGAAATCAGTATTTCAGAAATGGTTGGGAATTTCACTGAATTTGTTCAAGGGATATATCCTTTTGTGGACATTTTGCTTTAAATTTTCACATATCTTGGGAGTAAAAAGGTAAATGGCTGTTTTAATTTTTTTGTTTCAACCTAAAATACTATTACAAGTAAAAAGAAGTAAAATTATTTCTGACTTAACATAATCACACATTTGCACAACTTCGAGAGATGGAGGATAACTATTATCGAAAAGTGAAAGACATTGCTGCGGAAACTTTGAAGAAAGTAGCGACAGAAGGCCAACACGAGAATATTCCAAAGGAAGTTAGAAGAGTAAGTCTTAGTCTTTCAGATTTCTGAGTTTTGTATTTAATATATTAAGTGAATAATTTGTAAATAAAAGTTAGGTAATAAAAAGAAACATATCTGCTAAGACTTAAGACTAAGACTTCAGATCAGTTTGAAGGTAATAAGGTCAGAACTAAGGGCAGGTTAAATTATGTTCAACAAAGGAATATAGACGACTATACAATATAATGGGGAAGCTGAATAATCAGGTGACACAAAGGCAAGTTCTGTCACCTGTGTCAGAGCCTCTGCTGTTTCTTCTCAGCTGTTTACAGACAAAGACGCAGTGATGGATGCACTGGCCACTGCCCACGATAACCATCTGCAGAAGATAAATGACAGAGAGACTCAGTTGGTGACGCGTGTTGATGCCTGGAGAGTGGGCCTCATTAAGGAGGTACTGAGCTAAAATAACCTCCAAGAACCGCAGCTTATGCCCTGTGGGAAAGACTATCCTCTCCTCCCGACTAACAGTCCTGAAATGTTTGGTTGTCTGCTTTATGGATTATTACAGATTCAAGACAAAGAACTCCAGCGGAACCGCACCTGCGTCTTAGACATCCACAAATACACAGACTATTCACAGGATCAGCTGGAGGAGTTTCTGTACAGTGAACTATGAAATTTCCTTCCAGAACATTCTATCATCTTGTTTTTTTAATTGCCTTATAAGCGATAAATGGTCTAAAAATGTTTTGAACTGTCTATTTAGCTCGCTTTCACCAACTGTGAAAAACAATTTTGTAAATCAAAGGAGGTAAGAGGATTATATTAAAAATATATACAGTATAAACGATATATAATCTTTTTTGTCACGTTTGCATACCACTATGATTAAAAGAAAACATTTAAGAAACCTTTTGGAAATGTGTCTAAAAACGTGTATTTCTATGAATGTATAGGAAAGGTCAGTGTTGCCTAGGGCTCAACAAAGATTTAAAACACAGTGATACAAATGAGATAAACGCCAGTTGTGCCAGAGTGCTTTAAAAACTGAAACAAAATGTATTCAAATTAATTCACAATAATCGGTTTAAAAAAAGAATTCTTCATTATAGTTATAGTATGACACAAAAAACGAATAACGTTTTTCTTCTTTAGAGTCGAAACCAAAGTAGACCGGAGGGGGGCAGTAACAAACCTCTCTCGCTGTTAGGCCTCTTCGACGACAATAGAAGAAAAGTAGAGGCTCCCGTTTTTAGCCAATAAACGTCATGGAAGTTGTATCGTCCAATGAGACGCCGCTTCTTCAGAAGCCAGTCCAGGGCCGGTTCCCTGAACTGAGCCAAGTCCTGGTACTCCTGGGTTTATGGACCACTGACAGACCGTCCTCTGTCAGTCACCTTATACACTTCAGTTCTTTAGCTCCGGCCTCCTCTGTCTCCACATTCATGACGGTTGCGTCCTGTGATTCAGCAGTACTCGTCATGCCGGTCCGAACAGAGTGCTGTACCACCACCGTCCCGGCCTCTTCATCCTCGACCTCGCTTATTCCTCCTGCCCCCATCAATACCCACCAGCCCGGGGTGGCTACCTCTCTACTGTACGGAGGCTCCCAGTTTCGCGGTTACCAGAAAAGCAAAGGGAACGCCTACGATGTTGAGGTTGTTTTACAGGTAAAAAATATGCAAAAGTAGTTTTGTTGTAGCCCAATTTGTTTGATTTATTTATCTAATTTGTTTTTATTAAATCATTAGTTTTATACGACAAAATAACACAAAGTAGTTTGCTAACTGCTAATTGTACACTATAATGCTTTACGTTACATTTAAAGTGTTAGTGTTGTGTTTTCTGTTCTGTTCATTTTTGTTCTATGTTCCCTGAATATGCAGCATGTGACGTTGGAGGACTCTTACTTGTGTGGATACCTAAAGATAAAGGGACTGACTGAGGTGAGATCTGGGTCAGATGTTGCAAGTTTGAACTTTGAACAAGTGTAAACTGGTGTGTGTGTGTGTATTTGTGTGTGTGCCCGCACAACTACATTCTGAGGTGAGGCAAAACTGGTTTTCTCCTGCTACAGTCTTGCTTAGCCTAAAGTAAGGTGAAAATGGTGAAATATTAGGTTTGTTTGTGTGTGAACAGTGGTGTTCTGCTAAAAAACAAGTGTGTCATTACATTATGCAACACACAGAAAACAGGAGGTCAGCAGAAGTTTGCTGGGGTACACTATGACCGGAGTGAATGAAAGATGAGAACTCTGTGTCCTGAAGGCTCTGTTCACACTTCTCTAAAATTAGAGACTTAAAGACTATAGACATGAAGTTTGTTTACGCTAATTTACCTTATTGCACCATCCACACGGCTCTGAAAATATAACATAAAATCACTGGATTTTTTACAGTGATGGCAGAGCCTATTATGAATGAAGTTTTTGATGAAGTCACACTCACTTGTCACTAAAGTATTTTGTTTCCTTTGTCCCCCCCCCCGTGTGACAGGAATATCCCACGCTGACGACATTCTTTGCTGGAGAAATTATCAGCCGTAAAAGACCTTTTTTAACACGAAAGTGGGACGCTGATGAGGACGTGGACAGGAAGCACTGGGTAGGTTGTGTCGATTACCGTTGTTTTTGTAGCAGATTTGATTTGAGTTGAAATGAGTTTGAAGTCTTATAGGACCCATAGGACAGGATGCCTTATGATCATCAGACAGAAAATCTTTAGTGGTTTTTCTTTCTCTTTGTGCAAAGTGTTCTGATGTTACATTGATGTGGACACAGAGCTCACTGCCTGCACATTCAGCAAAGCAAACAAAATAGCGCAGTGTCAGCACGTTTTCATCACTTTAATTGTTATTGACTGCTTTAGATGATAGCATCTGGTCAAACATTGCTGCTAATTTATAGCTTTGTAATAATTACTTAAATGCCCCACATGTCTTTACTTGCAGTAGTACTAATATACAAGTATCACATTCAACTTTGACCAGTATCTATAAACCCTCACACCATCACATACACACCAGAGGTTTCAGCATAATCTGAAAAAAACTGACCAAATGAACCTTCTCTCTTAATGTGTTAGCATTGGTGTTTATGTTTTTAACGTCTTCTTCATCAGGGCAAGTTCAAGCCTTTCTACAAATATGCCAAAAGTTTCAACACAGACGACTTTGATTACGAAGCACTCGAGAACAGCGATTACATCTTCATGAGGTGGAAGGTCAGATAATGATCAAAGACAGTCAACATCTCTCTCTCTCTCATCTGTTAGCTCACACCTGTAACCTTCTCCTTTTCTCCTCACACAGGAGCAGTTTTTAGTTCCTGACCACACCATTAAAGACATCAGCGGCGCTTCCTTCGCAGGTTTCTATTATATCTGCTTTCAGAAATCCACAGCGACAATAGAAGGTTACTATTACCACAGGAGTTCTGAATGGTAATTGTCCTTCCTTTTTTGGAGCTCAGCAATTTATAAATGAAGTGATTTTTAGATTTTTACACTAATATTGGTTATTTGTTACATTTGCAGGTACCAGTCGCTCATCCTTAACCACGTCCCAGAGCACAGTATCCCCATTTATGAATTTCGGTGACACGGAAACACCGAGCGCTGAGTAAATAAGGAACAGATGATGCTGCTCTGGGCTGAGGTGGAACATGAATGACTGAACCCTTCAATGACAAGTTTTTTAGGGGCAGTGACATGGATTTCCTTATTGTAGGAAAATAGACATGGAGACAAGGGTGAAGGAAGGATGGGAGAGAGAGAGGCAGAAGTGAGGGTTAAGGTTAAGGTTGAACTTTATTGTTCCTGCGCTGGGGGAATTGTTGAACAGGTCAGGAAGACAGTTGCAGAACTGCTTTCATTCTCAAATCTGTTTTTATTTTACCCTCGTGCGGCTCATTTGACTGGCCTCTCAGAAGGTCCGTCACCCTGTAGTTGAACATCTAAAGTCTTCCCTCTGTGGGAACACGCCGATCATGGTCTGGTCTTTTAGGCAAGACTTGGAGTTAAAGCAGTTTTGTTTGTCAAATCCTTATTTATTTTCTTATTTCATCATCACAATCATGACTTACGCTGGGTTTGGTGAAGGGGGTAATACTTGACAGGTTGACAGAGGAAAAGGTCATTAAATATATATATTTTTTCTACCTGGTTACCTGGTTAAGATTCTCATAACCAATCTTTTTTTTTCACATTCAAAATATAAAAAGTATCCCCACGTGGACACCAAAGCTCAATCAATGTAAACGGTTTTATTTTCCACTTTTTAACAATAAGTTAAAAATACCTCAATAAAATAAAAGACCAACGTCTGACATATAAAAGTGCTGCTCCGCTCATCAACATTTTAAAACATGTCCTGTCACAGTGTTGGTCACAGAAAAGCTCACAGAGGAAATTAATTGTCTGGATTTCTGGTCACAGAAAAGCTCACAGAGGAAATGAATTGTCTGGATTTCTCTGTCTATTACATTTTTATAGTTTCCCCTTGTTTACCACGACAAATAATATTCTCAATAACAGCCTGTATGGCAGGAGAAGAGTTTAGTTTAAAGAAATAAGATGAGAAAGAATAAAATCTTAGTTTGATGCTGTTTGAGGAAAAATGCCTTAACATTTTAAATTAGTATATTTTTGGGTTTCCTTTTTGTCCACGATGGCATCCTTAATTTATTTGATGGGCTGCATAAGTGTTTGCGGTCTTAGAGGAAATGTGCAAACAGGCCAAAGTTGTAGGAGATTAGTTTTAATTTACTGAAAAGTGTCAATGATCTGCAGACACAGTGCCTGTGCTCTGGTCGCTGCTTTGTTGCTTGTCATCTTTCAGCTGGTTTGGTGGCCTGATGCATGACACGCTGACTTGTTGCTTCCCATCACACTGTACCTTCCGCGAGGATTGTTAAAGTTTGCCTGCCTTTTTAAAAGTGTGACTGGTAAAGAAATCAAAATGTGCAATGTACTAATCATGTTTATTCGTGAGGGTCTCTGTAAGTCTGAACAGAGTGAGCGGTGTATGATACATGTGCTATAAATGTGTTGAATGAGGAGAAATAAACGGAATCGTTTGTATGATAATTCCACTTGTTCTTGTTTTTTTAAATTACCACTAGATGCCAGCAATGGGCCGCTAAAAACACTTCCTGCTCTTAAAAAATATATAAAAATAAAAGCCAAAACAACGTACCTGTTGATTAGTATGTATTAAACACACAATATTATGTGGTTAGATTAAAATACTGCATTGTAGTTTCACCTTTAAATCTGCGTATTAACATAAACCAAATCGCACAAAATGTGAAAAATTACTAGCCTATTTGTAAATATTTACAGTAGCATCATTGGATGATGTGAACTAATGTAACAATGTCATGAATAATTATTATATAATATAGTCTAATTTAATATTACTCATGACATCAGCTCCTCAGTGTAAACCTTGATTTAGACCTGACAAAAAATATTTGTTCCAGGAACTGCAGTGAAAAGTATTATCAAGAATTTCATCAGAATGAAAAATTACTTCCTTTAATTATTTCCTTGTGCGATATCAATAAAGTTCAACCTTAACCTTAAAACATAAATAATTACAAGCTGAAAAGCAAACCTTTACAACATAGAGCAGTGGTTCCAAAAGTAGGGGGCAGACCACCCTTAACAACAATTTTTTTTTATTACAAAATAGCCGCTTGACAACAACCCGCATTTCCTTTGAGCCCGACTCACATCAACATTCATCAGAACTGACACCCACACATGCACCCTGGATATGAGTCAGATCATTCATTCTGTGATTCATATTTGCCAACATTTCAAGCTCAGATGTAACAGTTTTTCCTGTGAAAGGAAAGGAATGTTGATAATGGGGAAAAACTTCCTTATGTTTCCATGACAATACAGACTAGTGTGTGTTAAAGCACAGAGCCTCTGTGTCGCGTCGAGCTTCGGGAATTTGTCTATCAACAAATCTTAAGCTTGATTGGTAAGTTTTCCATTTCCAGGGCCCGCTGAGACAATTGGACTTTCTGTTCAATAGAGCCACAGTTTTCTTCACGAAAATGGAAATATGCAGCAAAATACATTAGCGTTATTGTTGTTTTGTTCAGACAGGTTATTTAACAAACAACATCAAAATATAAATAAAACCATCTGACTCCTGCTCTTTATGACATATGTATTAGGTTAAGACATCACAGTTTGACTTTGACTAATGTAAATCATACTTTAGTGAGAGGAAACGTGATCCTTTAGGGGTGTGCTTAGTATGTCACCAGGCAGGTATTGGTGTTTGAGCAACACTGTGTTTCCCTGTTCTTTTTTTGTCTACCTGTGTCACCTAGCCATGCCCCTCGACCTCATGCAGTGGATATAAATGTGTGGCCAGAGTCGGACCAGACTGAGACAAGTTCCTACTGCAGCACATGGTCATGGGGAGCCAGCGATATCCAATCAGTGTGCGTTTAACCGGAGTCATGCACAAGGCGAAGAGCAAAGTGAGCAGACGGAGGCATTTCTCCTCATCACAGATGAGATCGGAAAAAAAGAAATATATATTTTTGACCACGTCTGTATTTTTCTCCTTTTCCCAGATGTTCATCACCTCAGTGCTGTGGTCAGATCAGGACGACATCATTGTTTACAGAACCTTAAAGGAGTTCCAGAAACTACACGTGAGTATAAAAACTCTTCTTTATACAACATCTGAGGAAAACCATGAAGAAATGTGTGATTACTTCATGTGAGAATAAAGTAATGTGAGAAAGAAGTCAAAGGTTTACTGAAAATTGCAGGAATAAGCTGGTAGAACAAAAACAAAATTAGTAATATTAAAAGAAAGAACTTGAAGAAATCGTCTGGGAAATGTATGTTTATGGTCTAAGACACTGCTGTTTATTCTCTAAATATTTAAACTTTATTCTCATAAATGTACACCTTTATATTCTTATAAACCTATGGCTTTTTTTTTTCTTGTAATATCACAGCACTAAAAAAAGAGTTTTGCCTCAACGTGGCCGTAATAGTTTGTCTTGATTTCTGGAATTTCAGAAACAACTGAAGAAAACATTTCCAGCAGCGAGTAAGCTAAAAAAATCTGACAGAATCATACCTAAACTTCAAGGTAGGTGTGTGAACACAGTCTGACCACAGTGTGGTGACATTCGTCTTAATCGTCTACTTAATTTGCCTGTCCTGATGCCCACAGTCAGGAAAGTAAAACGGGGCGGACGCAAGAAGGGGCACAAAAAGTCACTGCTGCGTCTCAAGATGCTGCAAAAATACTGCAATAAACTTCTGAGCTGTGACATCCAGGTCCTTCGGTCTGCAGACCTGGTCCAGTTCTTCCAACCCACGGACCAGGACCTGCTGCCAGACTTCTCCAAAAACAGGTACTGGACCGTAGGCAGGTTTGTCAGTCACGGTGGCTTTAACTAATACACGGCCATGGAAGTTATGGAGACCCAATAACACAACGCTATTGTTTTTAGCATCATAGTCATGATCTCAGAAGACGATGTCAGCAAAGGCACGGGTCACACCAATGGGGGCAACATAACCAGCCCGTTTGTCACCGAGACGTACAGATGTGTGGCTGCGTACGAGACCAAAGACATCAAGAACAAACCCTTTAAAGTGGCAAAGGACGAAAAAATGGACGTGCTCATCAAAGACAAAGGAGGTGAGCAGAGCAGCGTCCAAGCAGAGATGACCGTCCATGTCTGCAGGGTAGTGTTTGATGTGGTCTGTGTTGGTTCAGGGTGGTGGCTGGTGGAGAAGGAAGACAAACGGATGGCTTGGTTCCCTGCTCCTTATCTGGAGAAACTGGATGAGGAGGAGGAGGATGATGAAGATGGAATTCTTGACAGAGGTGCATGTCGGACACTTGTCCACTTGTATGATGATAAAGACGGAGGACTTGACACTAACGTAACATCCTTCACCCCCCCAGGAACACTGTTCACTGCCATCAGGAACTACACCTCCACCAAGGAGGACGAGATTAGTGTGAACATGGGCGGCACCGTGGAGGTCCTGCAGAAGTCCTCCAACGGCTGGTGGTTCATCAGGTGCATGTTATTACCATATTTGTTCAAGGAAAAGAAATGTTTGAATTCACACCACTAGGGGGAAAGAAGTGGAAATGCAGTGACACACCCTCAACTCTTAGCCACAGATATAGTTATTAATTAAAGAGCCAGTATGAAAACCACGAGCTGGTCAGAAGACAAAAGAATAGGTGTGTTTTATTTAGTAAAAATACCAAAGGTCAGTGTTACTGTACCGCTGTATCTTGTGAATTCAATCAGAAGTAGTATGTTGATCCCAATGAAATTGTTGAAAATGTTTATATCAACGTTTTTTTTAAATCTTACAGGTACAATGGTAAAGCTGGTTATGTCCCCAGCATGTACCTCAAGCCCTACAACCCACCTCAAATCCGCACCATATTCCACCACAGTCGACCAGCCTCCTCTCTGTTTCCTGCCCCCCCCTCCATGTCCCACCAGCTCAGTCACTCTCAGGGAAACCTCCTCCAACTTCCATCTTCATCTTCACCCCTGCTGCATCCAAACACAAAGCTGATGTCACGCTCCCTTGATGTTCTCACTGTGCAAACTCCCGTTCTGCCGGTGCACAGCACCTCTGCTACAACCACACCGACGCCTCCGACACACATCCGCCACCCACCCACCATCATGGTGGAGGGGGATGAAGAGGAGCACCAAAATGACCACATCATCAGGTCAGAGAGCCAGGCCAGCTCGCTGACCAGCAGCAGTGAGTTCAGCCTCAGCGACGACCTCAGTTCCTCCACAGCCAGCTCAACATTCAACCTGAACCGCAGCACCAACCATGAACTCCTGCGCCTCAGCCGCACACCTCCACCAACATCACACAACAGTCTCAGCCCAAACAACGGCACCATGGGAAACATGGTCCACGGCACGTCTGATCCCGGTCTGTTCCAGAGGCCCACATCCCCCAGGGTGCCGCCCAGGCCTCAGACTGAGGAGATCCTGCGTCGCTGCACAACAGTCACCCGTAAGAACATAATGAGGGACACACCGTGTCCGACACCACCTGAGGTGATGAGCCAGTGAAGCTGTGATGGAGTGAAATAGGAGAAAAATCAAAACCAGACTGGAAACAAAGAGAAGGAAGTAGTCTAAAAAAACATGTTTTAGAATATTTTCCCTCAACATTTTATACAGAAATGATCCCATTGTCACCAGCTGATATTACAAGTTTGGTTTGTTATGACAAAACAGTGAGGAAATGGATGTAGATTCCTAGTGAATAGGGAGAACTGTCTGGTTAGAACCTACTTTATTAGATTAGAAGAAACAACATATTTATCTTCAAATGATGAAACTGGGCCACTGTGACATCGTAATAATTTAAATTATAACAAGTATCATCAAAAATGTGTCAGATTTCCAAACCTCATCTCTTTCTGTCTGGAGTAAGGGGATTGTTTTCCATATTGGAAACCACCGTTGTGCCTTATATGCATTTTTCCTGCGAGTAGTGAATTTTCTTTGCCATAAATATATACAAAAGTATAATCACCTGTTTAATGTTTCGTTTGCACAACTTCGTATTTTTGTGAAAAATCAACTCAAGACTCAAATACAGGACAAAAAATAAAATTCCCACCACACAAAAACCAAAGACTTAATTTAAAACAAACTTATTTTTTATTATAAGAATTTTTTTTTATCACAATACAGATTTATTGAGATAAAAGGAGCGAGTCCTAGCTCTTTGTTTTTTCTTTTCTCAGTCCTTCCTCGTCCTTTCTTTCTTCATGTCCATCGCTCCAGGTCTTAATCAGAAAACATGGAAATCTCTAGTTTTCAGATTCAGTAATGAGTTCACTAAGTCTTCAGCTTGTTGATCTTGGTCAGCTGCTCACAGTCTGACACTCAGGAGCAGCAGAAAGTGGGAGACTTTTCACACTTTTCCTCACTGTGATGTCATCGACTTCAGACTGAGGAAAAGTGTCCTCGTCCTCCTCACTCTCTGAGTTGTGGTTGCCATTGGCTGAAACTCCGTTCCCATTTTCTATCCTTTCCTGGTTTGTGGAGGCTTTGTTTGTGGCGCTGACCTCGCCATCCTTGTCATCCTCATCTTCAATGATGTCATCGTCATCATCTTCAAGGCAGTTTGGATCTTCGTCCTGCCCGCTGTCATTCCCAGCATCTCCACCGTCTTTACCTTGTCCTTCCTTGTCGATGACAAAGAAAGGTTGGTTTTGTCCAAGAGGAGTGGTGTCCATGTCTTCATCCTGTCCCAAACTAGGGAGCGGAATGTGGGGAATATTTACTCAGATGTCAAATAAATGTGATATTTTCATTTATACCTTCCTGATTTTTCCCTTAAAAAACAGCTAAAGGAACAATGAAAAAGAAACATTAAAATGTGTCATTTTTTAGGTCAATATAAGAGTAAACTAATTCAAATACAAATTACAGTCATGCCACGCTGCCCGACTCTGCAACCACTGCTTGCAGTGACTGTATGGATGTCCTTTCGTCTTCTACAGTCTATGAGCTCTTGTGGCTCTCACTCACCTGGCTGGTGCTCCGGCCACTCTCATCTTCTGCCACATGTAGTTCAGGAACATGGACGCCTGCAGCAAATGTCCAATCCTCTGCATGTGCCTCTCTGTAGAGAGAGAGACAGAGAAAAGAAGAAGAAAAGAGTGACTCGCTGGAGCTTGTACTACAGTAGTGCATTTCCTGACTTGGAATTAGGTAATGAAACTAGTCACAGAAGACCTGTTGTTTTTTTTTTCCTTCTATTGTCTTTGTAACACTGTTTAAGAAAGCAAAGAGACACGTTTAAATCAGTTTACGTGGGAAGGCAAACAATGGGCTGTGACTATCAACCATCCATCATGTCTGTTCTCACACGGAATGTTGCTGCTGTCACGGTACACCTGTGGATTTTCTCCTCATTGTTTCTTAGCCGTGAAGGGTAAACAGAACAAAACCCTGGTCTGACCTGTATATGGAATGAGGCCCTCCAGGTGTGTTCGTGCTCCCTGGTACTGCAGCAGCTCCTCGGGTGGCAGGTGGGTGAGGAGGACATGGAGGACGGCCTGGGCATCCAGACAGTTTCTGGCGTTGGTGTTCCACACCGCGCAGAAACGTATGAGAGACTCTGACAAAGTGAAGACGAGGCAGAGTTTAGAGTCGGGGCAGCGGCCGGGGTTGAGGGGGGTGAAGTGAGACAACATATTTTTAACAATAAGTCAAACCACCTATCCGTTACATTGGTGGTACCCAAAGCGTGGGACGGACCCTCCCAAGAGGACACACTGATGTTGCCATGGGGCAAATATTTTCTATATTTGTCTCTAAGTCACATTATTGCACTCTATTTTTTTAAATCTATTTTGTTTGTTGAATTGAGAATAGCAGCTGGAAGAAGTTACAGTGTCTTAAATCCAGCTGTAATTTGTCTACACGAGGGCAGGACAATGGTCCAATAGACAAAAAGGAGGCACTGCAGAAAAAGTTTGGGAACCGATGTGTTACATCATCATTTTTTAATAGATGAATTTGACACTAAACATATGTTTATGTCCAAAAAAGTTACATTGAGGGCAACTGGACGAAGTCGTTTCACCTCTCCTCCAAGAGGCTTCTTCTGTTCTGACTGACTAATGGGAAATTCTGGTATGTAGCCACAAACGGGCTGCATACCTGTAACACGTGTTGTTGCAGAAAGGGGGGCATGGAGGTGTGGTGAAACTCACCCCATTCTAAGGAGGGCGGAATGTAAAGTTACAGGGTTAGATGTGTGAATGGGGAATTTCCCAGTAGTTAGTCAGGACTGAAGAGGCCTCTTGGATGAGAGGTGAAACGTCTAAAAAAAAAAAAAAAAGTTGCCCTCGATGTAACTACTTTTGGATTAAATGACCTGGATGGCTGAGAACCTACACAAATGTTTATGTCATGACTTTTTAAAATATGTAAACATTAAACTTTTACTGATAGTAAAGTCAATGCATCCTGTTACCTTTTTGGTCCACTCGAAGTTTAAGTAGTGTCTTCTCCAGCAGTTCATGTCTGTCCTCGCCTTGACGTATGGCTAAACAAACAGAGAACAGGTCAGAGACAAAAGACACAGACAGACACATGACAGATACAAGAAAACAACCGAAGAGTTCCCGTTGACCTTTAGTGTAGACTATGTAACATTGAGTTTTATTTAAAACAACAGCATGCATGTGGAACTCTGGTTGGTCACATAAAATGAGGTAGCGGACCCGATTTGGCACACGGGCCTTGAGTTTCATATGCCCTCGTCTTCTGGAGCGATAACAGACTGTATGCTGGAATGAAACCAGCATCACTGCTGGAAAATACCTTTGATGACAGTGAGCACAGTGTGAGGTTGGTCCAGTGAGATGGCCAGACCCAGGGCCTTCAGATACTTCTTCTCATGGAGCAGGTTGGATAACTGCTGCTGCCTTCACATACAGAGAACACACTCAGACATGGAATTGAACTAAGAAGCAGCGACGACAAAGAGGCCATCAATGCATCCAGACCTACAATTACGTTTATCATTTTTTGGTGTTATTATTATAATAGCAACACACGCACACACAAACAAGTCAGTTCTGACCTGTTACCCTGTGGGCTCGAGAAAATGAGAGTCACTTACTTCAGGATCTGATCTTCCTGTTTGGCCTGCTCTTCTTCTATTTCCACTTCAGTGACATCCTAACAGTGAACACAGGACAAGACGTTTTGTGACAAACAAAATGTTTCAGCTCTTTACAGAGTTTTACAATGCACGGATAACAGCTGAACAAATCCACAGGGTCTTTGTTGACGCATTCCAGCCTGGCCGTATTGTTCTTCTCTGAGACTCTTGTCTTGTTTAATGCCTTCTGAAAAAGTGATTCAATATGCAGAATTGTTTCTCGCTAACTTAGGAAATCCATGTTCTTCAGCGTCTCCACTTTAATATTCTAACAAATCCAAAGATAGATATACTTTAGACTGGGAAATTACAGATTTCCGTCTGTCAGTCGAAGCCCACTTACCACCCACACAGTGATGTTGGAGTCCGCTGAGCCCGTCACCATCTTGTCGTCTTTGCCGCTGCCGTGGAGACCCCACACTTTGTCCTGATGGGCGTCCAGCGTCTTCACACATTCATTGGTCTTAATGGTCCAGAGCTTCACCAGACCGTCTGAGCCACTGGGAGGAAATGCTTTTTTTAATTTTAAGAAGTTCCCTCAGGGGATCAATAAAGTAATTTCTGAGTTTGCATTGCATCATTAACGTAGACAGCCTAATATCTGTAGTATGTTAAAGTTTTGTTCGTGGCAGACGTTCTTACCTGGTGAGCAGCTGAGTGCCTCGACTCACAAAAATGACTTTCAAAACTGATGCATCGTGTCCTTCGAATGTCTGGAAATAGAATTAGTAGACGAACACAAAAAAACACCATCAGAAAATAATAAGAAAATTAAAATACCAAAGGACAAATTACAGAATTTTATAGACATGTCATTACAGATATTTCATAAGGAGAAACGTTGTTCACCTTAAGGCAGCTGAAGTCCTGCAGGCTCCACAGCTTGGTGGTGCCGTCTGCGGAGGACGTGGCCAGCACTTGGTCAACGGGAGAGAAACAGACGGCCCACACTCCACGGCGGTGGCCACGGAATACGCCCAGCAAACCCAGGTTTCCTTCTCTGGTCAGTGACCACAGCTTGGCGGTGCGGTCCTGGGAGCCCGAAGCCAGAAGTTTGTCATTGGGCGACACAGCGACGCTGTTGATGTCCTGGATGACAAGGCAGAAAATAATGAGGAAAAATGTTAGTCACAAAATGAAGCAGTTGCCAGATCTAAAAATAAAACCTGGAAACTGAAGGGTTGTGTACCTTATCATGAGCCTTCTCTGTGCAGCGAGCAGTCAGCTGATGAACATCAGTGTCTGGTCCTGTCAAGTCTGCTGGCAGGTCCCACACTTTCACTGTGCAGTCCTGACTGCCAGACACTACAAACGACGCCTTCAGCCTAAAACAACAAAATCACAGATTGAAGAAATGTTTTTAACAACTTGTGGGCCCAAACCTTAACTGGTGAGAGGTGTGACTTTACCTGGAGCAGGTGATGGAGCCCACAGCATTAGTGTGGCTGGAACCATGGGCCACACATCGCACCTGACCACTGTCACTGTCCATCTGCCACACACGCACCGACCTGTCCTATAAACACACACAAATGCAACATTTTTTTTTTTCATTTAGCTCTGAGCTTCTTAATCATTCATTGGAATTGATTGTCTGCTCCTCGTCTTCTCTGCTCATGGACGATGAAGACTTTGTCTCACCTTTGCACAGCTGGCAAACATGCAGCCTTTTTTGAACACGTCCAGTGAGAGAACGGTGTCTGTGGACGATTCAAAGATAAAGTTACAGACGATCAAAATCAGGACAGGACAGGACCAGCTCAACAGGAAAACATTCAACAACAAATGCAACATAGATGTTCTTTTTTTTAAAACTTTTTTTTGTTGATGCAATTAAAAATATACAAATAACAGTATTAATTATTACTTGATGAAGTAGAATAACTGAAACAAATCTGCTTTTTCCTTACATTGATTAATTCAAGATTAAAAAAAAAATTAAATTTTGCAGAAAAAAAAAAAGGAAGTCCAAGACTGTAAGACCATTAAGAAAAAATGTTTTTATGAATGAGTTTGAATGTATGTTTTTTTCCCCTTTTACTTCAGATAAATGAAAACGCTGAGGATTCACAGGTGGCCCTCCTCAAACGTGTGCTGCCCCCTGCTGGCGACTGACCTGAGTGTCCGTACAGGATCTGGCAGGTGTTGGTGAGCAGCTCAAACACTTTAAGTTGGCAGCTGTTAGTGGCCACCACGATGTGACTGTCGCCTTTACCCACGAACTTGACATCGAGCACTTCATCGCTGTAGCCCACAAACTGAAAGAAGGAGTAAAAGTGTTCATTGGCAACAGCGAAACCATAGTAACAAAGTCTGAAAAATTATTGTTTCAACATGTGGCTCTCTGACCGGATAATTCACTTACTACCATTCACCATTCTGTGAATACGTTGTACTGAAGCCTCTTATTGAGTATACATTTGGCGTATTTTAAAATAGAACAAGATCAAAAAGACAGGCTAATGATGGAAAGTTCATTAAAAACACAGTAAGATGTTTTTAGTCTCTCTACTTAAACAAATGTGGCTCAACCTGCTCAAAAGAAGCTCCGCTGAGCATCAGACATCAGACGAAGAAAAACATTAAAGACAGTCAAAAGGGTATGTTTGACAACATTTTTTGTCAAAATGTTCTACCACACTGTAGTTGTACAGTCTGTGCAACAACTAAATGGTCACTGAATCTCAGGTAACTGCATTATAGAGACCTGAAAATCTGTAAATGGCTGTCTTTTAAATTGAATAAAGTGTTTTAGTCTCAATAACAGTCATGAAATTTTAATATTTAAGTAAACAGTATTAAAATATAAAAGTACATCATCTAAACGAACTACTGTATATAATACTTAATATGGTGACGTTAACATTCTACATAAGCCCACCTGCTGCAGTGTGGTGAGTGCAGGCAGCTGATAGAGCAGTATGTTGTGTTCAGCGGTGACCGTGGCCAGTCTGCAGGACTTTGGTAACTGAAGAAGGAACGTTAGACTGCGTGGGTCGGCGTCTCTTTCTTCCTCCTCCTCAGATACAGAGGTGGGGGAGGACAGAAGTGATTGGATGTAGACACAGCGTGCAGTGGTGGCCTCCCACACCCTCAACACACCTATGGACAAAAGGTGGAAAAAAAAGTTAGTGAAAAGAACACTGTTTTCATTTTCAAAATCGTGATTTAAAAAATAAACCTTTGCTGCCGGCTGTGATAAAATGCAGGTCTTTGCTTTTTACTCCAATTTGAGAGTAGTCTTGGTCATTGGGAAGCAGCACGACGCCCTCTACAGCCTGGAGACAGGAAAAAGTTTCCTCACTTGAAGAAACACCTTTGAAAGTTTTTCTATTTTGTTCTGGTGAGACAGAACCATTCTTTGACACTCACCTCATACACTGGTATCGTCCTCTTGACGGTCTGAGTCTCCAGATCCCACACCGTGCAGATTTTATCTCTGCCTGAGCTACAAGCAAAGGTCGGCAAAGCAGCAGATGAAGAAATATCCCTCTTGAATTATTCAGTTTTTGATTTTGACAAACAGACACACTGTTCTCATATTTGTAAGGGCAGCACTTTACCTGACCATGGTGCCACCATCGGGGCTGAAGCAGAGAGAAGTGACTGCACTGAAGTGACTCTGCAGCACACACACACACTGACTGGTGCGCAGATCCCACAGCCGAATGCCACAGTCCAAAGAGGAGGAGAACAGCTGCAGTCGGTTGATGTCTGGGTGAAACTGGACGAGGCTGCAGAGACAGACAAAAAGAAATCCAATCGTTTTCAGTTGTAATTCAATCATTTCTCATCCATCTATAACCAACCAGTATGACTAACGACAGCTGTGGATTTAAAGACGTGAGGACTTACTGCACAACACCAGAAGATCCTTTCAGGTTATGTGTGCAGTACTGCTTCACTACATCCCAAATCTTTATGGTCCCATCACAGCCACCTACAGGACAGTGAGAGAATGATCATTTTAATCAGTAAAACCAACTTCCAGCATGTGCATTTATCAGTGGTTTTTTGGTGATCAGAACTCACCTGTGGCCAAAAGCGTGGTGGTGGAGTCAAAGGTCATACTGGCTACAGGCACAGTGTGAATGGCCTTCCATGACCGGACACACTGAGCTTGTTTCCAGTCCCACTGCTTCAGCAGCAGAGCTCTGCTGGCTGTTACCAGCAGCTGAGGCGGGACAGATTGCAAATATATTTATAGTTGGTATTTCGAGCAAAAAGATTATTTAAATTCAAACGCTGACAAGTGACTGAGACATTTACCTCATCATCATTGCTGAGAGCAAAACATGTGATGTCCTCTTGATCGTCCTGAATTAACAAAATAAACAGACAAGGTCTCAGTTTTATCCAACAAAGCGGAGAGAAGGAGAAGAAGCAATTGATAAAAACAGTAATTAAGAGAACTATGTCATTTGTGATGGCCCTGTAGGGATTATTTGCACCTCTGTGTGGTAATTACACAGAGGTACAATTAGTTAATTGGATAATTAATTATCTCACTGTCCCATATACAGGTAATGAACTTAACATGAAACTCCTAAAAACTCAAACAAAACAAGGTGGAAAAATCTACATATCAAATACAGAAAAAGGCTAAGCACCCACGGAGTACTCACATGCTCGATAGAGTGAACAATCTTTCCTGTGCTGATCTCCAGAATGTTGACACGAGAACCACACGTGCAGAAAATGTAATTCTCATCATTGCTGATCTAAAAGATTAAGACGGAGACACGAAGTAGTCCAATATTAACGCTGGTGTTTATGTATGTAAACACAGGTCCACAATGACATCTGCTATGTTAGGATTTTGGGCCCATGTCTGATTCTAGTTAGCGACAGTCAAAAAAATGCAACATTGTCAGATCGTAAACATGTTCAATTTTATCTCAGGAGTTTAGACGTTTTAAATGTAGACAATTCATGAACTCTTCGCGGTAAATTCAGTAACGCCTCTGAACAGAGTACATATCCCACCTGCACTTTTCCTCCTTTGTAAAACGGTTCAATTTTACTGGAGACAGCATAACTGTAAAACAAATTAGGCAGAAAGGTGAGTGTTTGCCTGACACAGTAGCTTAGCTTATGTTAGCAAAACTAATGTAATGTTTTCAGTCTGAACCAGCGGTGACAAAAACTCACTTTGTTTTGAACTGAAGATTTGCGGTTGCCATCTTTCATGAGAAAAACAACGAGAAAAATTTAATTTAATTTTTCGTCAGCTGTGGTGAGAAAAATACTTTATTTTCTATTCACACGCTGTCTGCATCAAACACATCCATCCCGCATGTTGATAGTCCGAGTCGCACTCATTGTACGTCATCAGAACGCACTGAGCTTTGATTGGCCAAAAGGTTTAACAGTTGTTCTGGCGCAATACATATAAAAGAGTTCGTTATTGACATAGAATTTGCAAAAAACATTGATACAAAATGTCGAAAAGGTAATTAATACGTTTTAACAGACTAAAACTGTTCTTGTTAACTAGTTTCTCATAACTGAGTTCTTTTAAATATTGTTCACACACTGACAACAATAGAGTCACCTGAAGCCATTCAGGTTAAAAGTCACCAGTTGACATGTGAAAGCACAGCCTCGATGCTAGAACAACAGGGAAGTATCTCCTTGTTTTATGTAATACACACAACTAACACATGCTCCCTGATTGGTCAGGAATGTTCATGTGTGTGTTGCTCTGATAACACAGACAAGGATCTGCGGTTCAATCCCATACCACACCTAACCCACAGCCCATTAATACTGAGTGTTTCTCTAAATAAGGTAACATCAACGCAGGCTACTGTTAAATAAAGGGAAGCATTGAAAAAAGATATCAACATATGGGATGACATCTATGGGTAAAGTAAAAGGAGTTCATCAAAATGGAAACACAGTGAGAAGAACTGTCTATTATGGTGAGTAGAAAAGAGATTTTTTTGATACAAAATGTTGATGTTCATGAGAGTGCAACTGGTTCTTGATGGTTCATAATTCTAAGAGTTAGTCATTTGTCAGCTATGTTGAATTCTGAGAAGATGAAAAGTTGGAATTGATATTTGTTCTTTTCCACTATTCAAATGTTCCTTAAAAAATATGATTTATAACTTTGAATATAATTTCATCATCAGTTAATGCTGAAAATACATGGTCAGCTACTAGATAAATTAGGAACTTTTTAAAATTTAGATTACCATAAGCTTGTGAGCTAGTCTGTTTATTTTCTTTTGTGGTATAAACATGTTCACACAGCCCGCCTGTTGGCCTGGTTAGTCTCTTCGTTTACACTCAAATCTGTACAGAACATGATAGATACAACAAAATGCTCAATTACAAATACATGTGGTAATGTGTGTGTAAACCACCACTAGGCAAGCCCAGAGCTGGCAACACAGAGCGGAGGCTACGATGTGGAGCTATTTGTGGACCCTCCAGACTATGAGCTGATCTGCTCTATATGCCAGGGGGTCCTCAGGTGCCCAGTTAGAACTGCCTGCCACCACATCTTCTGCAAGAAATGCATCTTACAGTGGCTGAAAAGGTACTAAGCACAGAACAGGGCAAAAGCAATTCACAACAATATTACAGAATTTTACAGCAATCTATTTGTGTTATTGTTCGATTCATGTGAAAAGACTGCACTAAATATAATTTACCTCCTCTGAAGACAGGAGACCTGCCCCTGCTGCAGGAAGCCTGTCAACCACAATCTGATCTTCATCATATTTAAGCTGAAGAAATCTATTGGACGCCTAAAAATAAAGGTGCGTAACATTCAATAGTCAAACAGTAAAAGTTGGGCGTATCAAGTATTAAAATGATAAGAAGTATATATTGTTCAAGCTTTTTTTACTTTTATGGGACTGTAGTTTTAAAACATTACTACTGCAGCCATACAGTCATATATTCTATTTGGTTTCTGTGTTTTACAGTGTAAGAATGAGATCTGTGGTTGCACAGACACCTTCCCCCTCTCAGAGCAGTTCAGCCACAGTCTGTGCTGTCAGTTTGAGCTCATCCAGTGTCCAAATCAGGGCTGCAGGGCCCAACTTCTACGCAGAGACCTGGACACCCACACCCGTCTCTGTGAGCACTGGCGTCAGCCCTGCCGCATGGGCTGTGGGACGATACTATCCCACAGCACAGAGGCTCAGCACAACTGCTATCAGCAGCTAAAGCAGGAGTACGAAGCCAGACAGAGGAACCACAGGGCCATTGCCACTGCTTTGCAGAGGAAGATGAAGAGGATGCAGAGCACGATGGCACACGTGAAGAGGCAGATTGGGCTGATCTGTGAGAGTCTGGACGTGATAGACGGTCTGCAAGAGGCAGAAGAGAGCAGTGGTTGCTCGAGTGGATCTTCAAGTGTTGTGTTGTGACTATAAATAATTTAAAGGAGTGGATTTGTTATAGGTTTTTGTTGTACTTAATCACAATTTATATTATATACAATAAAATTAAGTTTTCATTGCTATACTGCCATCTTCTAACCATCTAACTTTGGAAAAATAATAGTACAATTATAATTATATCATATGTGTTGTAATACAGAAAAATACCTTGTTTTGGGATAACAATAATAATAATAATTACCCAAATCTACCACTAGAGGGCAGAAGTTATTGAAAGAAATCTCGCGATAACGCTTCCCAATAAATTCAAACGGAACTTGGAGTTCGGCCTTCTTCCTGTTAAACGATCACGTAAGTGCCATACACTCGCTCATGCTCATTTGACAATCTGTCTAGATCTTCTTCATCCTTTGGTTAAACATAGCCTCTTCATCTTAACAAATACATAATAACCGCGCTGTATTTAGGCTGTATTAAAGTTGTTGCTAAAGCGTCAGGAAATATAAGATATTTATTCATTTTGTAACGAAGGGTGTGAGGGACCTGAACCGTTTCCAATATGGCGGCGTATTTGTTACTTCAATTTAAATACACCGCTTTCAATACAAGTAAGCTGAATTATTAAGGGCGTATATTTTGTTCCTCAGCAAATGGCGGACGACGCCGGTGGTAGAGGAGGTTTTCGCGGAGGTTTCGGCGCTGGTGGCCGTGGTGGTCGCGGCCGTGGACGCGGCAGAGGCCGTGGCAGGGGCCGCGGTGCTCGTGGCGGCAAGTCCGAGGATAAGGAAGTAAGAGATCGATACAACCTGATTTTAATTTTATAGCAGTAGTTTTGGTTATAATATATGCTATTAAGACCACTATTTAACTGCGCCGTTAACTCGCAGTGGGTGCCGGTCACCAAACTGGGCCGCCTGGTTAAGGACATGAAGATCAAGTCACTGGAGGAGATCTACCTGTATTCTCTGCCCATTAAGGTAAGCGGGATGAACTGATATCACACTTTATCTAAAACCCCATTTAAAAACACTTTTCAAGTGTTGTTGCATATTATCGTTAATGTCAAGCTAAGTCCTGAGGCAAATGTCCAAGATCCTGTCTGACGTTTTGTGCCTATTAATGTGCTATTAGCATGTTTACTTTTTATCCATAAAACTGTTTTTTGACTTACATTTACACTTGAATTTTATTATTTTAATATAATTGTTTTTGTATGGCTGCATCTGCATACAGGAGTCTGAGATCATTGATTTCTTCCTGGGTTCCAGTCTGAAAGATGAGGTACTCAAGATCATGCCTGTTCAGAAGCAGACAAGGGCCGGTCAGCGCACCAGGTTCAAGGTGAATCTCGCTCTTACTTAATGGTCACTTGCTCTTATTTAGTGTCTGTTCAATAATACGTTTTGAAAATTGACACAAACGCTCTCCTTATTTTTAGGCTTTTGTTGCCATTGGTGACTACAACGGTCACGTGGGTCTGGGAGTGAAGTGCTCCAAAGAGGTGGCCACTGCCATTCGTGGAGCCATCATCCTGGCCAAACTCTCAATTGTCCCTGTCAGGAGGGGTTATTGGGGTAATAAGATTGGCAAGCCCCACACCGTACCCTGCAAGGTGACGGGTCGTTGTGGCTCTGTCCTGGTGCGTCTGATCCCTGCCCCTCGTGGTACTGGAATCGTGTCGGCTCCTGTGCCCAAGAAGCTGCTCATGATGGCTGGTATCGACGACTGTTACACCTCTGCTAGGGGCTGCACTGCCACCCTCGGCAACTTTGGTAAATGTTCTCAATTTAATTTCCTTCGAGCATGCCTGTTTTTTCTCCTCGCTCTGCCCAACTTCACCTGTCGTGGTGTAGTTGACGTTATCAGGAGAGAAAGAAACGAGTGTTGTAATGCACGGCAGAAAGACTTGTGATGTAGTCTCCTCTGTTCCCTTTCTGATGCTCTACATTCAATCCACCCTCCACATAAACAATGAAACTACACTGAACATTCTAGTGTTCTAATTACATTTATTTGTTTACAGCTAAGGCCACTTTTGATGCCATCTCCAAGACTTACAGCTACCTGACCCCAGATCTCTGGAAGGAGACCGTCTTCACCAAGTCTCCTTACCAGGTACAAAATCAAACTTGAAGTCTTGATGTGTTCTGAAGTATAAATATAAATCTGTTTTAAAACCTGCCTTTAATTTGTTTTCTCCAGGAGTTCACTGACCATCTGGCCAAGACTCACACCAGAGTGTCTGTGCAGAGACAGAATGTCCAGGCTCCCGCCTCCTAAACTTTTTGTACAAAGAATTGTTGAATAAACATTCTGAAACAACAATGCTATGTGGTTTTTGTTTTTTTACATTATATAAAAGAACTGGTGAATTAGGAGGATAAATGGTTAATGGGTGATTAAATTAGAAACAGTGACATTGATTATACGAGTAAGTCATAATTTCTAATGGTAGTAATGTAAAGTGCTGACTTCTGAATTAAACTGTTCAACTGCAGGCCACTATGGCTGTAATTCATAAATAATTTAAAACATGTCAAATGTAAAGTGTAGGTTTTAATTTATTTTACAATTTATTACAAGGGCAGAAATGCAACTAAGTGCTCTTGGCTTGGGCTTCAATCATTCGCTCTTTCTGCTTCATCAGGCATTTCCTTGCACTGGCATGTGCTCCCAAGTTTCCATCTGTTAAAAATAAAAATGGTATTGATATTAAATGACACCTTGTAGCTAGTTTCACAAGTTCATTGCAACACATTCTTCCTAAAAGCAGTAATGCATCTTGGAAACTCGTGATTGCATATCACATAAGACAGAACTGAGACAATTTTAAGCATTTTATGCTCAACACTTGGATGAAGGCATTTTTGATTGAAGGTGTTTCATGCTGTATGAAAACCTTTTGGAATAATTTTTGTTGCAAAAACATTTGAGCTTAACATCAAAATATTTAAGTACTTACAGCGTGACACGTAGCTGTTGAACACTTCATCAAACTGTTGTGTTTCCTTGGTACAAAACACAAGATAATTGACTCCCTCTCTCTTCTTACACCCCATCAGACGCTCTCGCATCACGTTCAAAATCTCCTGGTCCACTTTACTGAAAAAGAAAAATTAGATTTTTTTTTAGCTATTGATCCAGCAAGGTTCAGGTTTAAACTTGGAGGATGAAAAACAGATTTAGTTTTTTTTTTCATCTTTCCAATACTTCTAAGTGCCTACGCCTAGTACTAATAAATCAGAAAATGATGATGAAAACATTAAAACAACTTTTTTCTTCTTTCCTTTGCAATACTTATTGTCCTACTTACTAGTCCCTCTTCCACTGCATCTCTGCCTCATATTGGCAGACATAATCGCCCTCCTCACACTCAGTCAGGTCAGGGACACGACGAAACCTCTGGTGGTAGTACACAGGCCGATTCTTAATGCGTAAAAAGTCAAGAAATTCTATATGACAAAAAGAAAACAGTTGGTTAAGTAATGGTGTGTCACCTGACAGCATCTCACTAAAACTGTAAACAATACAGAGTACAATACAGGTTCCAATAACTGAGTACTTCTCAAATAGTGGGGCGGGGTGCAGTGAGGTGCCACGGGGAGGAGAGGCTTCCAATGGAATATGGCATGCTGGACATAAGTGTTGCCACTGCTTAAATGATAACATTCAAGTGTTCAATGATAACAAGCCTCCAGTCACTAGGTGACAGTAACTCATTGTACAGTAATTTGTACAGATAAAAATATATATGACATCAGGTTGTCAATAGTATTTCAATTCGCGGGGATGTTGGTCGGGGGAGGGGGGAAGCGTGAAAACATTTTCTGTTAATTAAATAACTAAATAATAATTAAATAATTAAGAACCACTACAATAAACTGAGCACCGTGTTGGATTCAAGCTGTCAGACAAAACGCCAAAATAATTAAGAGCAGTTAGGATTTAGTCTGCATTGGTATATTCAACCTGCCATGAAACTCACTTAGTTGGAAAATCAGAGTCAATTTGTCTCTGCAAACTACAGCTAAAAACACTGTAAAGGAATGAAGACTAGGCTGGGTTTACCGTACATTTGGAACAGGCAAAATTAAATGATCAAATCAGAGATAATAATAGATAATAATAGAGCTGTATTCTGTGACTACAACGGTACATAAAGAACCACCAGAGTCGTTATGCCTGTTGCCCTATTAGCACAATTAGCATCGTTAGCTCCAGTTACCTCTGAATTTAGTGACAGGCAGATCCACGGCGACCCTGTGGACCTCGGCAGCCATTAAACCTGGGTCCGGCAATGCTGTTTTTTTGGTCCATACCGGTGTTTGCTTAGGGGGCTCTGGATACGCGTCTTTATCGTACACTCCTGGCATTTTCCTCGTTTCCCCAAAGCGCACAACACTACAGTTCGACCTCGATCGCTCTCCTTTGGAAGCTGCGCAGGCGCATATGATACAACATAAATGGCAGCCGGCGTATTTCTTCTTTGGTGGCTGTTATTTAGGACTAGGCTCACTACCAAAGCATGACACTGCTGCCATCCTGTGGAATTATTTTGTAAAATACTATGTTGTATAAACATACAGTTACATGGTGACGTTCAGACTTTGAATCGACTTACAAAAAAGATTAGGAAAAAAAAAAAAGAAGAAGAAGAGGAAGTTGTCATTGTTCATATCTGGGCACGACCTTCAAAGGATTAATTGAAAAAAATGTGATAGAAAATGTATACAGATTTTCTGGTTCAATGTTTGGTCAAAATACACCAATCACGTCATGTTTTAACATAAAGACATTTCACAAGATGAAAATGTGTCGTTCTGCTTCTTTTCAGTACATTTGCAATCCACCATGTACAAGTGGTCCAAATGTGGTTTTCTTTAATATCTCTCCATATCATTTCTATGGTGAAACTAATGGACGCTTTTCTCAACAGGAATAAAATCTTTCCTCCTTCCTTTCTTGGTGATATGGTTCCTGTCCAGTCCCTCCCTCTATCTAACGCCTGCTGTCTGAGCCTGGCACAGGTTATCCCTGTTTGAAAGCAAATACGACTCCTCAACGGGGCCAAATACCAAGTTAGAGCTCTTACACTTTGCATCATCTTGTGTATGACTCTAACATCGGCACCGGTTTCTTTCTCTTTCGACCCTTGGACTGGACAGTGAGCAGATATGGTCAGTATTCATTGTGTTCATGGTTGTTGTTTACTTCTATAGAACGGTTGTCTCATCAGCATTTACCCTGTTACATGTTGGAAGACTCTGTGTGTTTCCAAAGCTGGATTATCTTGTGTGGCACAAAACATTTACCTGCTTTACACATACAGCAGAATTATTATTATTATTACTACTATAATTAAAAGAAATCCTTGAAATGCAACTGATGGTAAAAAATGGTTATGTCACTGGGTAATAATGCTTTCTTGCATCTCATCTAGTCACATCGCAAATTCCATGCACCACGCCATGGGCACATGGGATTTCTGCCCCACAAGCGCAGCAAAAAGCACAGAGGCAGAGTTCGTTCATGGCCAAAAGATGACCCTAGTAAACCTGTTCACCTCACTGCCTTCCTGGGATACAAGGCTGGCATGACCCACACCCTCAGGGAGGTGACCCGCACTGGTCTAAGTACGTCTGGATGTATGTGATTGACCTTGGACGATGACCAGAGTCACATATAGCTTTAATGAAAACATCGAAGCACCAAGACGATTTAATTCATTCTATTGGTCACTGGATTTGTACTGACAACCTTCTGCTTGGCAGTCAATAGCCTGTAGGTGCCAGAGAATAGGCTGGTGCTTTACTGATTTAACATAAACCTTTTGATGTCTTTTCCCAAAGAACAATCAAAGCGTGAGGAGGTGGAGGCTGTTACCATCATTGACACTCCTCCTGTCATGGTGGTGGGGGTGGTGGGATACATTAAGACCATCCGTGGCCTACGTTCCCTCAAAACCATTTTTGCTGAGCACCTCAGTGACGAGTGCAAGCGCAGATTCTACAAAAACTGGTCCGTTTGGCTTTTTATTGTTTGTCTGCATGTGCACATGTACAGCTAACAAGCCAGGGATACAGATAGCTTAAAATGGACTTCTAGCTCTGGTGTCTATATGGACTCATATTCAATCCATGAGTAGTGTCATTATGAAATATTTACACGATATGGTCCAACTCAGATTCTTTAATATTTCCCATAATATTATTGGAAGTGCAAAGCAACATGAAATGGTGTTTTTGCCACTTTACACTTTAAATTACATTCATTGTCAGTAGTTAAAACCAATTCACATCATCTGTTATCCCATCATGTACACTTCATGCTATTTGATGGCTGACCTGCTCTGCTAGTAACAATTATGATCACAATAACAATTTAAATACCTGATATTTTCTTTGTATCAGTGACATAATATCAGTAAATAAGTATTTTAAGTAAATATTAAAATTTATTTAAATTCTCAAGTCAATTGGCTATAATGACGTAGCAAAGGTCACCAATTCTGATTCCATAATGTTAACATATTATGTAATGTTTCCTGTCAGGTTTAATTTTTTTTTAATGTTTGTGTTTCAGGCACAAAAGCAAAAAGAAGGCCTTCACCAAATACAGTAAGAAGTGGCAGGATGAGACTGGGAAGAAACAGCTGGAAAAGGACTTTGTTACAATGAAGAAGTACTGTTCAGTCATAAGGGTTATTGTTCACTCTCAGGTGAGCCAGTAGTCTTCTACTTCTGCCTGACGACCCCCCTCCCTCACCCTCCTCTCCACCTTCTGCGAATCACAATGCAGATATCAGAAACACGTGTTTCTTATCAAATGACAACAGTGTCTTGAACTGCTCGCTGCTAAAGGGCAGTAGAAAGAAAAGCTGCCAAGATTCAAATAACTGACCAGAACATTCCTAGTAAAGAGGGGGGCAGAGGGGCAGAGGGGCAGAGCAGGGTGCTGTTTCAAGTGGCAGTTTAAAAATAAGTTTCAGAGTAAAACAGCACACGTGCTTTTCCCCTGCAGCGGTGATTCAATCTCAATATATTCACATCAGACCTGTGTGATTTAGCTAACGTTGTGATTTACTGCCAAAAATGAATGAGGGAAAACTCTGGAACCTGGTAAAGCAGGATGATTTCACACTAAGGCACAGCTTCTCTGAGGTTCCCCCGAGCTTCACAGTTGTGACTCGTCCTCCAGATGCGACTGCTGCCTCTGAAACAGAAAAAAGCTCACATCACGGAGGTGCAGCTGAATGGAGGCAGCATCTCAGAGAAGGTGGACTGGGCCAAGGAGCATCTGGAGCAGGCCGTGCCGGTGTCTGCTGTCTTCTACCAGGACGAGATGATTGATGTCATCGGTGTTACCAGGGGTCGCGGCTTCAAAGGTTGAAATCACGCTGCTGCTGGTATCAAGAACCTAAAAAAACAAAAACAAATGCATCCAAATTGAACTGAATAATTAACTCTGATTGGCTGATAGGGGTGACCAGCCGTTGGCACACAAAGAAGCTTCCCAGGAAGACTCACAAGGGTCTGAGGAAGGTGGCCTGTATTGGAGCCTGGCATCCAGCCCGGGTCAACTACACTGTGGCTCGTGCAGGACAGAAGGGATTTCACCATCGTACGGAGATCAACAAGAAGGTTCTTAAAAAAATCACCGTACTTTAGAACAGACAAAAAAAAAAACACAGTCGTTACATTTATTTTTCCGATCTTAGATCTACCGCGTAGGTCAGGGAGTTCACATTCAGGATGGGAAAGTGGTTCGGAACAATGCCTCCACCAACTATGACACCACCCAGAAGACGATTTCCCCAATGGTACGTCCTTTTTAGACGCATTTTATTCAGTATACCAACACAAAGTAACTGTGTTTGTTGTGGTTTGTGACTGTTCAGGGTGGTTTCCCCCACTATGGAGAAGTCAATAATGACTTCATCATGGTGAAAGGCTGTGTGGCTGGAGCAAAGAAACGCGTTCTCACCCTCAGAAAGGTACAGTTCCATCAAACACATCTGGTTCACATTCCCTAAACCCCCTTATGTATAAAGGACTACTGTGTACCCCCCCCCCCCACACACACACGGACACATTTACAACTGTTGCTTCAAAACTCCACCAGACTTAAAAACATTAAAAACAGAAATTGTGGCATAATTATGAAAATACTAAAATTGTCATATACACTGTATTACTTCTGTGCCCCCTAAAGAGGTCTCGTGCCCCACTTTGGGGACCAAAACTCTAGGCTGCTTGATAAAAGAAAATGTTTTTTTCTTTTTTGCAGGAAAAATAAAATCTTGCCATAATTATGGTTGTTTTTTTTTTGTTTGTTTCTTCAAGTCTCTGCTCGTGCACACCTCTCGCAAGTCCAAGGAAACCATTGAGCTGAAGTTCATCGACACTACTTCCAAATTTGGTTATGGACGTTTCCAGACTGCCCAGGAGAAGAGAGCGTTTATGGTGAGTAACAGTTTACTCTTAGTTTACACTAAAGCCTGTATATCAAGAACCACGTCCAGAATCACTGTTCACTATTTAAACCTCTTATTTCTGGTAAATTTACAGGGGCCACTGAAAAAAGACGCCCGAAAGAAACTGCAGGAATCTTGGTCAGAGGAAGCCTGAGAGAAGACATGATGATGATGGAAATGTCAAGTGTTAATAAACAGAGATTGAACAGGAGTCGGCATTTGTTTAAGATGTTCTTAGGGCAGCGTTCACGTCTACAGACAGCTTGATAACAAACATGTCAAAGTTGACAACAGGTTTTTTTTTTCCAGTAACAATTTTTAAAAGTAACGTGCAGTGTGTGTGTAATGATGGTGATCTTATTGCATGTTTCCTCCACTATGGTATTTTTTCTAAAAGTTGTCTAAATAATAGATGATGTGGTTTAAAGTTGTTTTTTCCCACTACACAACGTTACTTGACACATCATGTGTTTTTGCAGTTTTGTAAATTTTTGTTCCAGACTTGTCGCTTCAGCATTTCTAAAGTTCCCTTTCTGTTATCTTGTAAGCTATGTGCTTCATAACTTTCACAGTAGGGGGCAGTCTAGCACCGTCGTAACAGCTCTGTGGTCATTTCAAAGTTCTTCCCGGGAGACATTATTAAATACAAACATGCAGGACAAAGGTCAAAGGGCAAACGTTTTCTTAACAACAGCTGGCTGATGTTTTTTGCACTTTGATTTTTTTTTCTTGGTTAAACTGTGCAGCCACAGGGAGGCGCTACTCTGACAAGTAGTCCTGGGACTCCATAGAGGATTGTTGGGATGCAGAATGGACTGAAGAGTGATGAGATCCAGGTGAGTTTTCCAGGCCAGATGTCATCAGGGGCAGATAGATATCGTCCATGTTGGGCATGACCAGCACTTTCTGTGAGGCAGTGATAAATAGAAAAATATAAACAACCAGTAAACACTGCAGTAAAACACATCACCACATCATGAAAGGGAACACAGAGGACGTTACCTGAAACTCACACTGCAGTTTTTTCCCAATCCACTCAGTGACATGGGTGAAGGTGACCTCCATAACCCCAAGCATGGGACGGACATGAAGGTCCAACGTAGGAGGCACCTTGAAACTGTACCTAAGACCAGGAGGAATTGCAGCGTTGTGTAGACAATGTAAAAGTAAACAAGTGAAAATGTGTCTGTGTACAAGGTGTGAGTACCATATCCTGTCAGTAGGAGGCGGGGGGATGTTGATGGTCAGAGTCCCAGAGAGCTCCAGGACCTCCACGCTGAGCATCAGAGGCAGATTGGACACCTCCGCCATCTTTTTCTGTATGTACTTGTTCTCCGTAGCCTTCTTGAAGTACTTAGACTTTGCTATCTTGCCAACGAATCGCAGGATCTTCCGACCTGTGCTGCCACCTGTGGGTCTGTGTCCAAACAAAACAAAAACACAAATGGAACTTTAATTTGAAAATGTTTTCTTGATTTCCAGGAATAGCAGCAGAGGAATCATTCATTAGTTCTATGCATCCATCCATCCATCCATCCATCCATCCATCCATCCATCCATCCATCCATCCATCCATCCATCCATCATACACTACTATGTAGCACTATCTATGTTTTAATATAGACTAAATATTCCTTCATGACTTCATAATTAGAAAAGAAAATTTAAATTTTAGTGTTATGTTATGTTGTATTTTTGTTCACGGTGGAAAGCACCAACAATGTTGTTTTTTTACTCACCCATCAGGTGCCACGGCGTTGCTTTTTTCTGCCACCAATCCCTGCGGTTCAAACGACAGAGCTTCGTCTTCATCTGAGGAGGCAGCGCTGGACGACTCTTCATCACTGTCAGCCAGTATGCACAGTCTGGGCTTAGAGCTGTAAAAAGTAAAATTACAAATCACATCACTTTTACCAACAAAATGACTTCTGTTATCAGAGGGACATGAAGGTGAGACGGCCCTCACCCCACAGGCTGCGTGTCTGGGATGATGTGGGCCTCGTCCTCTCCTTCCTGACCCAGTTTACACAGATTCATCTTCGTCCCCAGTGTCATCTGGAAGCAGCCTGTGTACACCACCTCCATTTCCAACCACAGGCCTTTGTGTAAAAGAACAACAGGCGTTCAACACGTATGTGCAGCAGCGGCTAAGTGCTTTAGTTTAAATCACTTGAGCAGCTACCGTAGCCTTGTGGAACATAACAAAATAGATATTTTCAGATAGTAGAAAACCAAATTAAAAATTTAAATATTGATAATTTTGCTACAGTTTAATATCCGTGTAACTAAAGCTAAAGCTAAGTTCGCTACAGCACAGCGTGATTGCTGCGTTTGTCTGTCATGAATGTTGTCAAACACTTGTAGAGTGTAGTCAGTTGTGCTAATTCTGGCCAGTAGACGGCGACAGTCTGCAGAAAATAAAATTAAAAACAATTTATTTGTTCCGCATTAAAAGATAAACAAGAGACAACATTCAAACCCGCGATTCTTCATTCATACATTGAGTCATGAATTAATTTTAAAAAATAATACAATTAGTAAAATGTTACATCATATCTTGTTTTGTGAAAAATTGTCTGAAGGAACAGAGGAAGGGTTAGGACATCATATCTTGTTTTGTGAAAAATTGAAAATTGGAGGAACATAGGAAGGGTTAGTGGTCTGAATAATGGCAAACATCTGACCTCTGTGGTCCAGCTTGGGTTTGGAGATGCTCAGGACTTGAGGCAGGCAGTTGCCCATGTCCAGATCATTCAGAGTCAGCTCGTTCATGAAGTATGGCAGCTATGATGGAGTGAGTGAGAAGATGAATCTGCATTTTATTACAACAGGTGAAGCATCACTTTGAGCAGCTTTCCAGTCAAATAAAGACTTCATATGGTGAATAACCTTGACAAATAAATGACCATCCTCATCCACCCTCACCTTGATCTTGCTGAGTTTCTTCTGGATCTTGTGCGCCACCTGATTGGTCCAGTACTTTTCCCTGAGAAAGTCCCAGAAGATTCTTCCCACCAGGGCATTTATCCAACTGGGCTGTTCCTCTGTGGGACATCCTCCTGCCCCGGAACCTACACTGGACTCAGGTGCAGCTTCAAGGTCAGGGGTGAGCTCTTCACTGTGGATCTACAGAGGTCCATTAATAAGGAATGACATGAACTTGGGAGCAATGACAGCAATTAATAGATAAAATAAAAACATGTTGCTTGCGCTGATATAATCCTAATGTAACAAATCATTTAATTGTCCATCTATGTAGATATGTCTTTTATTTCCCCATTAACATCTTTAAAACATTAAAAGTAAAGACTGATGACATCACTCAAAGCCACATCCTGAATGCTGTGCCACACAGAATTCCTCAGAGACGCTCCAGGGTGACACATGATATCTCTGCACACTGACATTCAGCCTAGTGAGTATCAACGCTGAATCAGCATCCTGGGAAAAGGCTGACCTGAGAACAGTCGCTGATATCGACCAGTTTTTATCAATAGGAGTAAGATAGAAAATACTTCAGTCTCTCTGAATATTGTGTGGCATCTGCTTGTACCACATGCTCTGAAAGTACCTGCTGCACCAGAGGAGTAGAGTGTGTATCATATATAATATACACACCAGTCTCTGCCATGAAGCTGAATCTCATCAAATCAAATATCTAAATAAAACAGCCGTTCAATTCACCTTTTTGTGACTGGTTGGACTTTCTTGGTCACTCTGGCAGGGGCTGGGGGTGGGATTACAACTGTCTGAGCCAATCAGCTGGGTCATGTAGGTGCTGTAGTCCAATAATGTTCTGGTTTTCACGCCTCCAGGGGGATCCAGGAGCTCCTCTACACTTTCTCTGACGGACTCTCCACCTGACGGTGCTTCACAGTGTCCTGTGGGTGAAGATAGAAAAACTGTACAGTAGGTTGATGAAAACAAGACTTGTTGACCTGTGAACTGTCAAATCCTCCGACCTGTGTTCTCCTCAGCGCTCACACTCGTCTTAGCCCCGGCTCTAGAAGCAGACACAAAGTGCTGGAACCACTCCTCTTTGTCACGCCCAGTGCGGCCAAACAAGTAGAGAGTGACAGGAAGCTGGTCATCGACCACAAGCTGACCTCTCTGTCTCTCTGACCGTTCTTCTTCTTCTTCTCTCTGCCCTTCAACCAGCGTCTCTTCCACTACCTCACCCCCAGCTAGGGTGATGGAGATGGGATATTTCTTGTTCCACACCCGCTTGCGAGCCAAACCGGGAGGAATCAAAGTCACCTGTGGGTTTGAGTTACCAGACACAGAGGTGTTCATCACAGAGTAGCTGTGGATTAATCCTGATCAATCATGATTAACTGTGCTGTAATTAGGTACCATTAATTATGATTAAGCCTCTCTCCTGTCTGGTTTACACAGAGCTGAAATAGAATGTTTTGCAGACCCACTGACCTTACTGTTAGCCAGCTGATAAGTGCGTGCATGTGAAATATGGGCCTCAGGAGATGACTCATCAAACGCCGACCACCGTGGGATGTTGACGCGAGGGTACGCCACCTGCAGCTGGCTGCCATCTAGTGAGACATGGACCGAGTGAGTGATGGACGGATGAAAGGTCTCGGGGTCGTAGCTGTCTGTCTCATTCATCCAACCCTGGGTGGAAAATAATGAAAGCAGCAAAAACAGTATGAGTGGTAAATACTCTAACACAGGCATGGGCAAACTATGGCCTGTGGGCCAGATGTGGACCGATCAGCTTTTGTATTCCAGCCCACCAAACTTTTCCAAATTATATAATTTATTTATATTATCATTATACATCTGCCTTTTCTCTGCATTACCCACGTTTCCCCAATAGATGGTGAAGAAAATGCTAAAAGCATTTTAGTCTTTATGTTTGACGATTACATGTCATTAATTTAAGGACAATTGTGGCCCGCGAGTCAAAACGTTTGCCCACGCCTGCTCTCACAGATACAGCTTTGCAGAAGAGTAACGTGAGCCACCTGATGTCTCACCGACACATCCGTGGATAGCCCAGAGTGCAGATTATTGTTGTAATAACTCCTCTGAAATCATACATTTCCCAAACCTCATTTGAACCTAATGACACCAGGCTCTGTGAGACGCCGTTATCAAAACAACAGCCTTCACTGCTGGTTGTGTTGCATCTCTGGGTCTTTTTTCCAAGCACTTATCGCCTGAAAACAAATCCATTAGGCTCCAGTGAGCACTACATGTTGTTGTTTTTTTCCTAAGTGCCAATCTGCGCCTCCCATAGCTCCTGTCTGACTCTGCCGTCCTCTCACCATCAACGCAAACCCTGGAGCTTATTTACATGGAAGCAAATCAGTCAACAAACCCAGTCTTATTTGCAGACAGGTGCGCAGTATTGTCTCGTTACTACAGAGTCAGTTTAACTGTGTATTGAATAACATCTAGAAAGAAAAGCTGTTTAGATTAATATTTACTCAGATACAAAAATATATCTTTTATTTAATTGTTTAAATTAGATCACAGGATTTTACTGCTAATTTTAAGGATTATTTTTCATTCATCTGATTGCTGTGCAGTTTAAAAAACCAATTCACAAATTACCTTAATTAGTCATTACTATTAAGGTGGAAGAATATAATAATTTTTTACACGCCTTCTTCTTTTTATTCTGATATAAAAGAAACACAGAGTTTTGAAAAAACAAGTTAATTCATAATATTGATGTTCCACATTCTTCCTACTACAAACACTGCAGTTCAGTCTTTTAATATCAACTCTTTGTCTTTGATTGCTCCATTCCTTACCATAAGGATCCTTGGATGTGTAATGTTTTCATCCAGGTCCTCTGGGCTGGATTTTAGGTGACAGTTTTTTTTCTTTGGCCCACCGGAGCTCTTTTGGGCAAACAGAAACACTAGCACCAGCCCTAAGATGTAGCCACACGCCACTCCGATAGACAGGCCTGTCAGGTATGAGGGAAGTGGGAGCACAAAGAAGCCGTAAGCTAGAACACCCACAGGAATGAGCCAATAAAAGGGTGGCGATAGAGCTGTGTCTGAGCCTGGGGTCTGGGTGTAGGTGTTGTGATTCGTTCCTCTGGGTTTATTCTTAATTACATCTTCATAAGAATCATTTTCAAAAAGATCGTCCCAGTTGTCCGTGTGGCACAAACTCCCGTGGCGTCTCCTTAAAGGAGTGTCACACAGAGCTCTGTGCTCACCATCAGTCCTACATTGGCACCTAATCTCTCCATCCTCACTGCTTCCATCTCTTCCAAGGCCTCCAAAGGAAGCCTGGGCGTCTCCGGTACCAGGAACCCTCCCTAGCTTAGGGCTTCCGCAGCTTTCTTCACGCATAATCTTACTCAGCATGCTAAACTGATCCTGCATTGCCTCCGAGAACTTTCGTCGTGTATCTTCCCAGTCAGCAATGAGCGAGGACCCCCGCGGTTCTGTTGGAGACAAGCTGCCTGCAGAAGAAGTCGAGGCCCACTCTTTGTTTTTGGTCAGCACTCCGGCCTCGGGAATCTTCGACTGCGTCAACTGCTTCCAAGGATGCAGATGCAATTTGGAGTCAGACTTTGAGAGGTTGACCTCCGGCTCACCCCGACGGGAGATCTCCGTGCTCAAGGACTTGACCAAGCTGAGGAGAGGCTTGCCTTTTAGAGAGCTGCTCTCCTTTGGCTCCAGGTCCGTGGAGGAGGATTTCACCAAGTTGGTAGAGATAAGAAGGCTCTCTGTTGCTGACAGATCAGACAAAGATCCTGGGGAGGAGGGTGAGTGAGGCAGGAAATGGGTCTGGGGTCCATAGCTTCGGTTCAGGTCCAGATCCATCATCATGGTGTGGTCAGGCCGGCCGTCTCTGGCATGTAGCTTTTCTTTTGAGAAGGCCACTGTGGGACCCTCATCGTGGTGGTCCAGACTGAAGATGAGTTTAGTGTCCTCCATGGTGTTATGGCTGACCCAGTCAAGGAGGAACTAACAGCTGGTCTGTAGCCGCTCTCAGATCATACTGGATGCTGGAAAGATGACAGAAAGATTGTGGTTTTTTGGGAGGAAAATATTTGGAAAACATTGATTTATCTTCAATAATCAAATTTGAGTGAACCTTTAACCTGGTCCTGTTTCCTTCAGAAACTACATTCAGAAAGACCTGTGATTGGCCAGATGACTGATGATCTACTAGCTGTAAGGCAATCTAATCACTGATGTCACTATTAGGAATTTAAAATTGCTTTCGTGTCAGTTTTGCATTCAATCAAAGTTAGGCTAAGACTTCACTTGTGAAATGACCGACCATTGACCTTTATATTACAAATTCAAGCCCGTCGTCTGGTTGATGACCTAATTAAACACCCGTTGCACATGGGCTCCCCGTCTGTCTTTGCACTTCTCATCTCAGTTTCCAGTCCCTAAGCTCAGAAATTAATTTTCAGGGCCGTCCTGAAAGACTGTCAGTCACAGCCAAAGCAAAGCACTGCTCAGCCGGTGCTTAAGCAGCTACAGACAGTCATGCATTAGCTTAATCAATTTATACTTTGGAGTTAACTTGGAGCAGTTCATGCTGACAAGCTGGGGGAAACGTCGCTGCTCTGTGAAAAAATCAACAGGGATTTGGACACCTTCCAGTCAAGGCTGTCTGCAGATTTCCACATCGGTGCAGAAGGAAATAAATGAAGCCACCAGATTACTGACACAACACTTCCTTTGAAATGTTTTCACACATTGTTAAAATTGGGGAAAAAAAGGCAGAAGTAGAAAATGTTAATCTTGCTCAACAATATAGATCTTCTGCAGTGATTAACGGTAACGTACAACTTTTGAGGTCATTAGGAGAACATTTATTGATCAATGGCTTCAATTTGTGTAGAATATGAACATATTTACACGCACAGATACTATTCCCTTTTCTGACACATGTTGACTATTGTAGTTCAATTGTGCACTAATATAAGAAGTTAGAAAAGATAAAAATAAAGAAAAAAGTAGCTTTTGTGCCAAATATGAAATGTTTTAGGAGCCCACGTGGGCCAGATGGTTGAGGTCACATGTATGTTATTAATCAATAAACAATACAGTAGATATAATGGTAAAATAGGTTGAAAATGAGAGGGTCAATCCAGAGGTCAGCATGAGGATAAATCCAGACAAAAATAGAAGTACTACAGACACAGAAACATTTGGAGAGCTATGAGCTGGATTAATGAGAATTAATGGGAATTTACACAGACATCCTGCCAAAGACACATCCTTTCCACCTTTACTGACATGAAAACACAGAAGTAGGACAGCAGCAAAACTCCAAACACACATCTCTTAATATTTTTTCTCAGACTGACTAATTTGGCTCAGCACCCTCAGTCTGTTCTAACTACGTGCTTTATCTTACTAAGCAAACCATCAGAAGCTCCGCAGCTTCAGTCACACTGTCACTTTGCCCTCAAATGTGCTGCTTCACTTCATGCTGCTGGAAAATGCATCCACATCAACACTGCACGCTTTAAAGACAACAACACAAGCCAAAGTCAGGGCACTCACGTGACTGTGATTTGCAGCCGCTCCTGGAGAGTCACTGGCGGAGAAGGGAGAGATCCACAAAGAAGACAGCATCGTTTTGTTTTTTTGTTGTTTTTTTTTTGCAGAGCAGCGCTGCAGTGAGCAGCCTGGATGCTGCAGAGTGCAGAGTGCGGCGTGCCTCACACACAGATGCGCACCGTGCACCGACCACATGCAGTAGAAGCGACACCAATATTAGTCAACTGTCAGTCACACTCACTGCTCATCGCCTGCGCTGCAAAATGGCCAAACTCCTAAACCCCACTCAGATCAGAGTCAGTGAATCTTTGAGGTAAACGCTTCAGAAATGTTGACGGCGTTACTCCTCTTCTCTCCTCTCCTTCCTTCCGCTTCAGGAAGGGTCAACCCATTGCAGAATAATAGGATTGTCGGAGTCCTAGGTGCAGACTGCAGAAGTAATAATCCAGATTAGTCTTCATGAGCCAATAGTTGACTGAGCGCAGAGTCTCTCTGCTCTGAAGTCCACGTCAAAACACAGTCAGCTTAACTCTGCAGAGCTGAGTCCAGAGCGCACTCTTATGTAACTCGGACCTCCTGAGAAATTAAATAAATAAATAAGTAAATAAGCAAATAAATACATGCAGTCCCATGACCTGGAGAAACACATACAAAGACACGTACTGTAAGCATGCATTCGATCAGATGAAATCAGAGTCGCATGTGAGCAAATAGCAGCTATCTGTTTCAAGAAGGTACTATGGAAGTAGGCTAAGTCTAAAAAAAGTTCGGGAATGTGGCTGTGTATAAGTGTGTATTTATTTTATACCCATATGCACTTTGGAAACAAAAAATTGCTTAAAATATTATATCCAACAGCTTTGCATGCAGGTTAGTGTGGCCAAAAATACGCTGTTCTACTTACGGGCTTTATTTTGAAGGGCAGAATCTCCGGATGTTGCGCTATTGACTTCCGTTGTTGATTAGAGGAGCTCGAGGCTGTTTTTTAGTTTTCAAGTTTTCTTACAGGCTACAGCAATGTCTTTTTGTTCATTTTTCGGTGGAGAGGTTTTTAAAGACCATTTTAAACCTGGTACTGTCACGATTTTCTAATTTAAGTTACATTTCCTCTTTTTACCTGGACGTTATTTTAGTGTAAAATGTCAACAATACCTAGCTCTTTGCTAACTTGTCTTTATAATCTTCATTAGCATTGGAATTAACAGTAATTCAATAACTCTTATTCTGTGTTTCTGTGTATAAGAAATACTATTTATACATGTCTTTCACCGTTATGGCGTTCGGTCAGACTGTAAACTTTTGTAACTACGTTGCTGTTACACAACTGTGTTACCCAACAGGTTATATTGACTTCTCTCAAGAAATATCTTTTTTCATTTAATTTAAAGGTGTTTGAATTGCTGTCTCATCATGTAAACCAGACACCATGACACATCTTTTTTTTTTTTTTTAAATAAGGGATTTATGTCTGCTCCAAATGTGGTTACCAGCTGTTCTCCAGCCACTCCAAATATGACCACTCATCTCCATGGCCTGCCTTCACTGAGACCATCCATGAGGACAGTGTCTCCAAACACCAGGAGAGACCTGGTGCTTACAAGGTATGAGATTATCATGGAATGTAAAACATTGCACAGTATTTGTCTCTCAAACTTTAGAAACAGGTTTTAACCTTGTACACTTCCCAGGACTTCCTGTTTCAAGGAAATCAAATTAAAATAATAAATAAAAAATAATGTTTCCTATGTTCAATATCTCAATTGTCTTTTTTAAGGTACTATGTGGAAAATGTGGAAATGGACTGGGACATGAGTTTGTCAATGATGGACCAAAAAAAGGACTGTCTCGCTTTTGAATATTCAGTAGCTCACTGAAGTTCATCCCTAAAGGTAAATATGTGCAGACTCTTCATTGACAACTTCATTCAATCGTTGTTAAGTACTTCTTGTTCTAATCCAGATATTTTTATTTTAAAAAGCAGCAATACATATATGTGTTATATGTATTAGTTTAAATAATCATTCTATTTTAAATTGTCCTCTCTAATCTGTGTCCTTGCTTTCCCCTAGATAAGGTTGATGGACAGTAAGGTGAGCCTGTGGAGAGACGGTTGCTGGAACCTCTAAAACGTTTCTTACTGCGGGTCAAAGTACGGTCAGCGAATGAGGAGTTCTGGAACAAAGCCCAGTGTGGGAGAACCGGGACTCTGATGAATGGTGGCCTCACTGCGCAGCAAACAGATACTTGTGGTCTCAGCACCAGTTAGCCTGCAATAAATACAAACTTTGTCTTTGAGCCAAGATACCTCACAGATCACACATGATTCTATAAGAAGGCTGAAAAATAATTGCTGAGGAAATATATATTTTTGTAACAGCCTTTTAAAACTCATCATTTAAGTTTGGCTGTATTTAAATGTATTTATGATTTTTCAGATGATTTTTAACAATAATATCTACAGTGTTTTGAAAGTAATATTTTCACTGGATAAACAGAGCTGATAATAAAAATCTTGTGGTCAAACGAGTCCATGTCAAATGATATTATTTACACTCTGAATAATATGTAAAGAAGTGAACTGTAAACTGAATGTCCTGAGAGCAAGTGTGAGATTATAAATGTTAGAAAAGTTAAATATTATTTTAACATTTTAAAAGATTTTCTTTAATCTTCCAAATAACAAGATGTGGCGCTTAAAGGGAAAATAAGTTACGGTTGATGGAGGAACGCAGTTGCATATTGCTTTCACCTGGTGGTGCTGTCTACTGTGTAAAATCTCGATATCAGTCTTGGTATCGCAATAGTGGGGAAACAGGTTGTGGTAGAGCAGTGGGAAGGAGTGCAAAAAAAAAAACTGTCATTAGCAAAATGTTTGCTCAAGTATGTTCAAATCTTTGATGGTGTTGTATTCCATCAGAGAACTGTGATTCAACAGGGGGTTCGTAGCCTTTTTATGTCCTCCGTGTGTGAGTCTAGTGTACCTTAGCCTTACTCTTCCCTAGCGCGTCTAACTCAAAGAGTACATGGGTATTTCCTGTCATTTCAGCCGTCTCTAAACCTGCCTCACCTCCGGCTCCCCATTAATTGAGTAAAAGTTTCCATGTGACTGATTAGACGTTGTTGTGGTGTTGTGAATTCTGTGATTTACCACCACACAGCTGGCACACAGAAAAAAACTGTCCTCGGGCTGGTGTTTGGAGGAAGCGGGGCGGGGTGAGGGTGAGGGTGGGAGGGGGTGAGAACAGGATGAGCTACAAACCCACCAGCAGACAGTCAGACAGTCAGACAGTCGGACAGACAGAATACAGAGATAAACTAGATGTGGAAGAGATGAAGACAAAAGGAAGTGGCTTCAGGCTCGGAGACTGTAATTATCTCGGGGAACACACTTTCTGGTCGGGCCAGAACACAGCTGTGTGGCCAAGAGGAAGTAAACAGGAAGTAGGAAGTGGTAATCCTTTGATAGAATCACAGCACAGAGTGCGCTGTTCTTCCACTGACCTCTAGGGCTCATGCAAACATGATCCTCGATGATTAAATTAAACCACTACATCTCCAAAGCTTTCCGCACTCCTGAAGGCCGAGGCCCCAAGGTTGGACCGGGCCATATGTGTGTGAACACGTTGTTTTAATTGTACCTCATGTGAGCCCGCTGCTCAGATGTGGATGTTTACAGACGCTGCACCTGCTTCTGTTTTGGGGCTCGGTGTCTTTTAATGCGTCCACGTCATGACAGTAATCCAAGTTCAGGAGGTGGTTGTTCTCCACAAACATCTGTCAACCAGTGGCTCTGCTTCACACACACAGCACAGACGTGCTGATGGCTTTGTGAGATTATTAAAGCTCCTGGAAATGTGACTGTAACAGAGGGGGGAAAAAAAGCTCCTTTCATCAAGAAGTAATATTTGCGGCCTCCGTATCACCTCTTTGTCCACACGTTGTTGCTGCTCTCCACATGTTTCAGACCTTCGTAGGCCACGGCCAAACATCTGTCTCTGTCTCACTAAGAGACACGGGGGTAAACAAAGCTTCTATACATGATGCAGGAATATGATTCCCATCATGGATCTGTTCAAGACATCTGCAGACGATCCAGGTTGGCCATTTTTGTAGTCCTGCGCTTAAAGGAGACGCGGTGTTGCAAATGAGAATGAGAATATTTTCGCCCATCCTGTCGGGGGAACCACAGTGTGTGCAGTTTACTGGGTGTATAAACAGATTTTATTTGGAGTGGGAGTAAGAAAAGCATATCTTTCCTTTACCATGTTTGGTTCTAAACTCTGTGAACGTGGAATGCTGGGTAGTAAAAACACAATTATATCAAGGGAGAAACAATGGCCAACCTCAAATCTCTGCTCATTCCAACAAATGTCAACAGTTCAATTAAGCGAGAGAGCGTTTTGCAAGGATTTCAAACGTACGCAGCAAAACCAAAGAGTGCCCCGTAAAATCCCAAGTATGAGGGCTGCCCTGTGGGAAAATAAACAATATGTGCACATTTCAATGGCTTCTGCCGCTTTTTTCGACTTTATCACATGATCACATTCCCGCTCCTGTGCT